ACTCAACCCCAGCTCAGACAGAGAGAAGCTGTGTTAAGGTTTGCTTTGATACGAGTGYTCTAACAGTACCAACACACTTACCTACCCGTCCTAAATATACACATTCACACCGAACAAAATCTGCCCAGCTTCTTCTTTTTTTTTTCCCTACTTGCTGAAACTTAATTTTTCTCCCCCATTTCAGGAGTCAGGATGGATAGTAATCACATTTTGTATATGAAATCTTCTGAAAAAAATTGTCTCATACCACATATTTGTTTTACAATTAACAGGGTCAGGCTCTATAATACAAACATAAACCTATTAACATAGCAGAGCAAAATCATAACACCTAAATGACTCTTCAGCAGCATAGTCCCTTCTGGAGTCCTACAGCAATACAAATATCATTCCTTGGGCTCATACCAAGGGAAATGTGTCACCTTGCTTCTACATGCTATGCTTTATCAATCAAATTTCTTACTACAAGTCAAAAAGGAAAAGTCTTGTCATCTCAATAAACCTACGACCTCTRGAATGATAATACTGTGTATTCTCTAAAAGTTAAGTCATCACGAGCTTACCAGAGCTATTACTGAACTTTAAGACGTTCATATCATTACTTTTGTGGAATATATCTCAGATTTTTATTAAGATGCACGATTTAAGGCTAAGAAATGCATATCAATATGCAAAATTTAGGCTCATAAAAGAAACTCCATTGAGATCATTGAATTGAGACAATGAAAGGTAAGCATCGAATGCCAGAGAATGCGGAACCTCACAAAATGTACYTAAAAAACCCCACATTTTTAACAACAGTCTAACTTTGACTTTATATACCATCTTACATATATTTACATACACATACATATTCACATTTAACATTACATACTATTTTATTTCAGGTTATGTTTTGGAAAATGTGCATGTTAAATTTCAATCATTGCCACTTGAATGTGTGAAATATTTAACAAAAGGCGACATTAAAGTTGTAAAATGCACTATCAACTGCAAACTGTATAGTCACTTGGTCAATGGTCAAGGTTCAGGAGAAATGCATGACCACAACAAATTCCTCTAAGAAAATAGAATTACTTCTCCAATACACTTTTGAGATTATTGACTTTTTCATTATTAAATACAACTGTTCTGAGTGCTGGAAGATGTATCCATGAAAGACAAATGGTTTGTATTTCTCTGAAACAAGATTTCATCCCAGGTTAAATCATTTCACATCAAAATTAAAGGCTTCAGAAAAGTGGATGCAAAAAAAAAAAAAGACAGTTAAAGCACTTAAAGGCATAGGCAGAAATTGAAAGTTGGTAGGAAATAGGCTGCACATCTACTAAATATTCTTCACATTCAATAGCTCAACAGCTAAATGTGCTCCTGGAAGCAATTCATAAAGGGGTGGAGTCAACTAGAGCTATTTTTAGATCCCACCAAAAACAACAGCCTTGCATTTTCTTGCTCCCTGCAATTTGGGGAAAATATCTGAAGCACTCAAGCTGCCTGCCTGTTTGTTCCCTGCTCCCAATTTCAATGCTGTAAGCAAGCAGCAAATCACCTGCTAAGAKGAGCTAAAAAGCCCTGAGACAGATTATCAAAAGGAAGCAATTTCCAGGTGGATAACAGGACATCAGCAGGACTTCAAAAGCACTGGCAGCACTAAAATGCCAGCCCAGATAGAAGCTGCTCCTTGCAATGATTTTAAAATTGAAAAGCTACGGTGATATCAGCTAAGAGCTTCTCCTGTTAAGCAGGAAATGSATGAGATATGAACACATGAGAAGCRAGGCTCCAAGCCCAAGCAGGGGAGCCAGCGGTGCCAGGCAYACCTTGGCACAATGAAGGGACACCTCCAGGCCCCTACAATCCAGGATTTCTGTGGGGCATGGCACAAATACCTGAATGACACTACACGGAGCCAGCTGCACCCAGGTGGAAGATCTGCAATAAAGTAATAAAGAGAATGAAAACCAGGCTCCTTCGCCTTCCCTGCTTTTGTTATGGTCTAATATGAAGTCAYCTTGCATGCTYTTCTCTCATAAATTAACTYTTCTGATATTKTATAAWGCACACTGTAAGAAAATCCTGATGRTGTAACAGATAACCAAAATAAAACTTACAGGTAACATTTCATGATTTAGAGTTTAATGATTCTGCTGTGGCCAGCTTCAGACTGGAAGCTAAATAGTTAATATATACTTATTTATACCCATGTGTTTCTTGACATCACATCACAAATTATAGYAGTCACGACATTTATACAATTTCCAGCAAGCCCAGTTTCCCATATTTCACAGCTTCAAGTCAGGCTGAACTAACAGTAGTGATGGCTGGATCTTGGAATGTGAGTTTTGGAAGTTCATCCTAAAGTAACTAATTTTCAGTAGCTGCTCTTAGGAGGCAGTAAACTGAATGTCACTGCCAATGTTCAAGATGTGCCACAGCTAGACAGTAGGCCAAATATGACTAAACAGTTATTAATACCCACTGCTTAATATTATTGGAACACTCTGATATAATAACAGACCACTATAACTTTTATATCTCTTAACATCACAAGCTTTTGAAAGAAAAACTTAAGTGCTCTTTAATATTTATGCTGTTTTACTAAGGCTTTAGAATGTTTCCACATAGGTTCTCAGACTTCAGCAGAGCACCTATTTCAGTGGAGAATAATATAATAATCAACTACTCCATCAATTAATGCCATTTAACCTGAAAAGAATCATAGGATACCCAATGGAATTGTTACCTGGCTTGCTCCAAAAAAATCTAACTTATGATGAAGTGTCAGAAAATATACAACAGCATATTTTATACTAATGCAGAATTAGCTACAAAAAAACACACAGATTTCCAGAAACACAGAACTATTAGCTGGGGTAAACTTTTGTCTCTTCTAATAAATTTGAATATCCAAGTATGACCAAGATCACTGATAATGCACTCTGTCAAATGCATGCCCTTGTCTAACAGGCCAGAAAATGCAGTATTACCCAGTCCCTATATAGCATCACACTTGCAGACCTCTCATAATAGTCTGTACTAATCTAAGTGACAACTAAAAAGACAAAACAGCCTTATGTTGGCTGGCATATGAGAAAATCCAGCTCCAACAACCATATTTATTAGAAACTGAAAATCTACAGGAGTTACATGCCAGCAAGAAATGRCATCTTGCAGAACTTAGACAGTAAATGACACAGGATGCCTATTTCCAGTATAGAGACTTAATATGCAAGTTACCTGAAGATACATATTGCTTGCCAGAACAATGCCTGAAAGAAAATACTACACTGACAGTGCTCAAAAGCAAAATCTTCAGAAAAAATGGTTTTAGCAAATCTTTTTTCCAGAGCTGTAGGGCTAGCAACAGATTCTCTGCAAGTTTGTAAAATGTCYGCATTCAAAACCAAGCTTTGAACTGACTTCATTCAAGTGACTATTACCCTTATTTATGTCATTTCTCATGTATTTTTTTAATTTTACATGTAAATAGTAGTAAGAGCTACAGTGTCTTAACGAAATGTTATTAAAACAACCAAGCCAAACACATACTCTGATGCAATCTCCTGGCCCCAGAGCTTTCATTGTAGTTAATCCAGCATTTGAACTACATTGATTGAACATGAAAGAAAATAATACTTTGGTAGGAAACTCAAGTGTCTTCCCCAAGAGCATTTTTTGGACACRTGCATTTGGTGCATTCAGAAAGCTGAGATTCCTCCAATGTATATTTTATGAGCCAGAGTAAAGCTATCTCTAGAACAAATGCTAAGAGGATCCAGAGAGATGAGTAATGAACCCTCAGCRTCACAGAGATGCTTTTCAATTCAAGTACACGGCCTGCACAGCAGATTAAAGCAAGTCCATAGACACGCAATCAGCTAGAGCATCCCTGTGCAAAAAGTTCGTGTGTCGACCTAAATTTGAAATGAACAACACAGTGACAAATAAATTGCTTGCAGCCGACTCTTGCAATCTAAGCCACATTCTGAAGGCTTAATATTCATCAGCTTACCCATGCTGCCATCCTTCCCCTCGTTGATGAGATGCCCCCTAAGCCATGTTGCTGGAGTAGACCCTTCCAAATTTTGCTTTAAATTTGTTTTGGGTGCTAACCCACTGGAAATCCCACGGACACAGAAGCAAAAGATGCAGTGCTATTTGCCACTTGCAAATCACACAGAAAAACAGCACGYAGATTTGACCAGGGCACTGGACATATGGGTCCTGCTATCCAGAATGATTTTGTTCCCACTAGCTTTGTTCTCCTATTTCCTGGTACACCTTTTCAGACCAATYTCCATTTTTGATTACAAGCTGGGTTCCTGGTCCAGTGATATTTTCTGTAAGAATAATGAAGATCCTATATTCCATTGCAAAGAGCRAAAGGAGCAAATGAGAAAAATACTGAAGACCAAAATTTGTATTTAGGCATCTATAGTAAAACTCCTACTTCTATACTTGACACAACACAAAAAAGGGCTGATTTGCAGAGATCATGAACTCTGAAAAAATGGAGCAACCAGTGCTCTATGTCTCTACAGTTAAGGCAGTGTGCATCCTTTCATATAAATAGGAATACAGGAATATTATTTTAGGCAGCTKCACTTGCAAACCTTTGGTCACATTCACCGCAGTGAAGAAACCTCAAGACAAAAAGCTGAGGCCCTGTTTGCAGCACAAAGCCTCACACTGCAAWAAGAAATTATGTCACTGACTCCCTCCAAACAACCCAGGTGTGCTGCTTTGCAGAATTCTACAACCATGGTGACAAGAATTGAGTACATTTAAGACCATCTGCAACAGGTTTCCAATCTGCTGAGGTTGTTCCAGTGTTTTGGTATGGTCTGCATTCCATCTGTTTAACAAAAACCATGATTTTAAAACAATTTAGTTATCCTGGCGCAAATTAGTGTGAATGCTTCTTTTCTGTGAACTGAACTTTGCCAAACTGAGTAAGAATGGGTTTAAGCTGACCTTGAGTTACCTGTACACATCTATACATAGAAACAAGTTATCTCTTTCTGAGCTTGGAACTAGCCAGACACCAGCTGGGTCCAGTCCAGAGGTCAAGCAACCACACTAGTGAACCATTCTGATTACCTCAGCACCTCGACAGTAACACCACCAACCTAACAACATCTTCCAGTCCACAGCAGGTTCATACCCGGTCATACCAGCATGTGTTTGGAGCAAGTTCTTACTTGTATTCATGTAAACACGTTCCAAGTGACCACAACCAACCATCATCAATTTAATTAGCCAAGCACCCACTGCTGCCCAGCCAGCTGACTAAGCTCTCATGCCTCTGTGCAGGYTTGGGATCCTGCCCGGGCACATGAGAGTTCATGATCCTCATTTCCATATGCGCCGCTAAATTACAAGTCAGTTTGCAGCAATGCAGCTAAATTAGTAATCACATCTTCTCGCTTCGTAATTGTACTTAGTGTGAGTAGTTAAATATGAGTCTTTCATTACATCATCATCTGATGCCTGAGTCAGTGCATTGGTCACAGTTTCTCCTGGTTGATTATTCATACTCCTTGCAGCAACAACTCCCAGCAGAACCAAACATCCCAGACGTTCCCTTTACCTTGAGCACTTCTGCATTGGAGAAACTGCCACAGTTCTCCACCCCGATCCTCCACATACAGTCCACCTGCCCACTGCATTTGAAAACTTATTTTCACCGCATTTGAAATTTTAGAAAAGCCCTTCTGAAACCTTAATTCTTTATGTCCAAGATGTCACATCACTTAGCACACAGATGTTGAAACAACAGATCATCATAGCTCTGCCTATCCCTTCATAGCRTATTTCTTTTTCCAGTGTTGACTCTTTATCTGGCAACGACACTCTTTGGAATCTATTATTAGTGCTGGGATTCCCAACCTATGCCAACCCAGAAAAAGCTAAAATTATCCYRCCCAAAGGGGTGTCACTTTCTCCTTTTAGCTCTGTAACTTTAATCAGAATGTAATAAACTGAAGGATAAAAACTGAGGAATAGAAAATGCAAAATGGATGCAACCAGAATGTGTCTTTTAAATAAATGATGCACAAGAACTACACCATTAGGCCCATAATAAAGGAGGGATACTATGATACTCACAGCATACAACAGTACTTTACACTTTCCAGCAGTATATACAGTTCTGTATTTATCATCCTTTGTTAACGTCACTGTGTGTGACGTCACTGTGTCACTTTTTCCAGGTACACGTTTCATTTTCATTTCCTTTTAAAAAGTTATCTTATTTCAACAATAACCCAGTTAGTGCCACATTTCTTGTCAGGTCTGAGTCACAAGCATATCAGAATACTTTGCTACCAATCTGAAACTGCAGTTTTGAAGATTTGTCCAAGAAAGTGGTTGCTGTGCTTTTACAAATTTAAAAAAAGTAAAAGAGACAAGCGTGAACAGAACCAGAAAAGCTTCTTCAAAGTGTTAAGACAGAAGCTAATCTTTTAAATTTAACTTTTGTTCTCGTGTTTCAGAATATACTTCCCTTAGGCAGCATGGGTGTGTATGATCTCCACTGTTCTGAAATGCTTTGCAAGTTTTAAAAGGGTTTTTTAATGGCCTGAAATCCCTAAACTTCTTTCATCAATCAGTCAAATTTTAGGAGGGTGAGTATAGGTTTTCATTATTTTGAGGCACTATTATAGGTAAGCATGACTCACACCCTGTGAGGGTATTGCAGGTATCTGGTGTCRGCACCTTGGTTGCGTGTCAAAACCACAATCTCACAGACTGCAAAGCTTCCTTTTATATCCTCGGCCTTGTGCGGGGCTGAGGACTCTGCAGCCACCGAACCAAAAGCCCGGAGGCTGCACCAGCGATGCCAACCATCCCTGCAGCGGCCGGGCAGCCCCGGAACGGAGCTGTGTTTCGGAGAAGGGCCGGCTTCTCCCCTCCGAGGCGGCCGGGGCTGCTGCTCGGCCCGGCGGCTCTCGGACTACCGTACCTGGATGAGGCCCCGGCGGAGCAGCGCGGTGTGAACGCAGCCCGGCACCTCCGCTCCGAGCGACACCGAGCCGTTCCCGCTGCGGAGCCGCCAGCTCCCCCGCAGGCTGCGCACCTCCGGCCCGCCCGCCGCCACCRCCGCCGGCGGCCACAGCAGCACCGGCAGCAGCGACAGCAGCGCCGCGGCGCCCATGGCGACAACCGCCGGGAGCAGCGCGCTAGGGCGGCGCTTCGAAGGAATGAAGGAAGGAAGGGAGGGAGGGATAGAGGAGGGAGGAAGGAGGCCGGCGCGGCTGAGGGCGGTGCAGCGCGGCTGCGCGGGGCCTCTGTGGGCGGCCGGGGGTGGCTGTGGGCCGGCGGAGCGCGAGGGGACCCTGCCCGAGTCAGCTGGCCAAAGGAAAGGTTGGTTTTCTTTTTTCGGAACCAAAATTGGAGGAGTTTGTAATGCGGCCACGAAGCTCTCAGAAGCAGCAAATGCACTCGGAGCTCTAGAAAACGGCAGCGAAGCGGGAAGGGATGACGAAGAGCTGTGACAACACCGCAGTGGGTTCCCTCAGTATTGGCTCCCTCAATATTGGCTCCCTCGAGTCTTGAGGCTCGTATATGGCCTCAGCCTTCCAGCTCCTTTTTTCCATAAAATTCGAGAGGTTTGCAAAACCGTAGTAAACGTCATGAACAGCTCAAAGTACTGTGGTTTCTTCATAAAACAGGGCTGTGGATTCTGTTTGTACAAATTCAGTGTGTTCATCTGCAAAGGGACAGAAGCGTCAGCTCCCRAGAAAGAGCCCAAAGTGTGGTTTTCAAATCACACTGTAGCTTTCCTGTGTGCCCTCRCTAGCTTAATCCCTTCATTCACAACCCAAAACCAGGAATACCAGGAATTAAAACCCCAAGTTTTTAAATAGCTTAGTGAAAGGCCTTAGCTATGCTCTCCAGGTCTAACACCCTCCCTCCCTCATGCTCTGTTCCAGGGGGTGCAGAGAGTTCTAGCTCACCTCCATGGAGTGGGAATGTTTCACACTGGACCCTCCCAAGACAAGAACAGGGACACCTGARGTTTGTTTTAGCTCCTGGCTTTCACACACCTATTTCAGCATACCATAAGAATCCTAAATTTGTCTTTAAGGCATGACTGAACATGCCTATTTTTGATACAAACCCTATTGAGCTGACAACCCTTAGTTTCAATACAACATAAAAATGACAAGTCCTTCCATTCACCTACCAAATAAAGAAAAGGTACACAATCCAAACACAGGTGATTTTTTCACCTGTGAGAGCACAAAGGGGGGGTGCAGTTCTGAGAAATACTGATTCAAAGAGAAGACAGTAGCTGATGTTTTTTGCTCTTAAATTTCTGCTGCGGGATAGCTGGGACCCAATAGCTGGGACCCACACTGTTGGGCAGCAGAAGGTCATGCAGAAACGTAGCTGTTAGAACAGTTACCATGTGTGTAATTTTAAGAAAATTAAGCCACATTCAATGTATTAACTAAGTGAAATGCTGGTCCCATTTCAGTTCAACTCCCAGCTGTCTTCTGTGAGATTGACAAAAAAGGCTATCATCCTAGACTGAACCACACCAATGGGCTTTGCATGCTGTAGAATTCAGTCAAAATTAGTATCTTCTCACCTTTAATAGTGCAGACTATAAAATGATGATACATTTATAGTAGAAAGCTTTGCTCTGTTCCTGGCCTCATCTGTCAATGAATAATGTTTTCAGGGCCATCAAACATTACAGTGTTCTTTCTTTAAATTCACTGATAGAACACTAAAACCATTTAAACATTGGGTGCTTGAGAGATCTCAGAGGATATTATTTCTCAAAAAGCAGATTTGCAGCTACCAAAGAACAAATGCAAGCTTTTTTTTATAAATAAATCTTTTTCAGCAAGTCACATGATAGCTTCCCAGTAAGGAGGAAACTGCATTTCAACATGTTTACTGTACTTCCATGTTCTCTTTGCCTTTTATTCTTTCTGCTTAAGACTGACTGRAGCAACACACACACACCAAAAAAACCTCAACCTAAAAACAATGTTGTAATTAAGTATTCTGAGAACATGCTGTTTCCTTGTTCAAGGCTTATAATTAAGTTAAATCATGTCTCATTTTCATGTCCCAGTTTTAGRGTTTGTTTTTTGTTTGTTTGAGGATATTTTTAAACAAATGACATTTTWGCTTCTTCAAGATATGAGTTTTAAAGGCTCTGGTTCAATCTTTTCAAATCTTAAGACACAAAGCAAGATAAACTGTGTACTTTCTTTTGCTATGTGCCAGATTAACACTCCTTCTGAAATACCACAAATTTAGGATGTTATTACAGTTCTTACTTTACAATACTRCAAGCACATATTCTTTATCAACTAAGACAAAAAGCTGAAGACAAAGGTATGCCTTTGTCTATATTAGAAAAAATTCAGAGTGGTTCCACTGAAATTACCCAAATTCTGCCATGGTAATCCAGAAATCCATTGTTTCTAATTATTGTGCAACCTCTATCATCACAACAGGCTGCTGCTGTTTCTCTTTCAAATTCATATTCAATGAGTYCATGCAAAGGTTTTAAACAAACAGGTTCTCAGAGATTTGGATGCAGTACTTCAAGATATTACTGCCCCCACCTGTCCACCCTGTCCCACTCTTCTGCTGAAGGTAAACACCTCTGAAGCCAAACAGGACTTGTGTTCACAGCAGTCCCTATCAGGGCATGCTCTCTCTTTGGGTAATCATGTGCTGCTGTGGTCACCACCACCACACACTATTTGTCAAAGATGCAAAGCAACTAAAGGGTCATCTACCTCAGGGAATTTTGTACAGATGCAGCTATATCAATGCAGACATCTTTGTATGACTGTAAGCACCTTCAGGCAGCACAGCATATCCATATGAAATCCCCACAGCTCCTCAACATCACACTTGACCTCTATTACCTGACTGCATCTGCAGAACAGAATYGCTGTGCAAAATAGTTACTCTCTGGGCTGGAGTAAAGACAGTACARTGCAGGGAGCTCTSCARSTATGGATTTGTAAAGGACATTATTCTGTAATTATCTTGAACTCCATACAAAAGGATGTTAAAAATAAAATAAGGAAACAAGATTATTTTTAGATGATACTATTCTAAAATAATTAGAAGAGGATGCTGTACGAGGTTATCATGAGCAAAATACAAAGTGACAATCTAAATGGTAGGCCTAAAGTTTCTTTCATAATTATGGCAAAGTCTGTAAGCCATTGCAAGGGGATTTCCTTAGCTAATAAAATTACTCAACACCAACAATCAAAGGTAATTAAAAAWAAGTATGTAGAAGGGAAGCTGCTGCTCCAGGCAAATGCTGTAATGGAAGGGGAAAAGCAAAAAACATGTAATAGTAAAGTTTCATAAGCAGAAAGACAGGTGATGCCTTGAAAAGAACCTTCAACTTCATCAGGTATGCTGASGCAAAAGCCTGTATTGGTATCTCTACATAACATCTTGCTTTGAGATGCACTTCACCCAAAGGATATAGCTGTCAGGTCACCACTTTCCAAAACACAGACAGAAAAAAGCCTAAGAATCTTTAAAGCTAGCATGGCCAGATTTCTAAAGTCATGTTATTTAGAAGCTTTTATTCCCACAGCTTTTATTCTCTTCATTTTATAAACAATTTTGAAATAATCCTAATTTATAAAATTACGTAACTCTGATCATTGCCCTTTACCCTTTGTTTCATAGGCAGCAAAGTCAGTGTCTTGCATGGTGCTGCCCAAGCTCCCCTTCAACTCTCATTAAAACTTACTGATTAAACTCATTAAAACACACTGATTCTCTGGCACGTACAGGAAATAAGTCGTATGTATGGAGATATTTTGGAACAGGTTGCTTAGCCTTTCTTAGAGGTCTAAAACTAGACAGTCATKGTGACCACAGTACAATGTACTGTGTTCCCTGAATGCCTAAAATGAAATCCCTCAAATGGTGGSTATCAGAGGTAACAAACTGTTTCTCCCATGACGGAAGTTTGAGAGGCTTCACTGAGTCCGTGTGCTTGGCACTGCACCAGCTGAGAGAAGGATGTACCAGACAGATCACACTAAATGTCAAGCACACATCCAGCTGACTTTTTTAATGAATGTTTTCTGTGCAGGTGATATTAAGAGATTGTCAACATATTAAGAGAATTATTTAGAGATAATATTAAGAGAATGTCAACAAAGGTTTGTAGCTGATAAATCGGATGAGTAAATGTAAATAGATTTGGAGTTGCTGAAACAGCTGGGAGCTGCATCTCTTTTTCTAAMTCAAGTGACTCCAGACAAACCACTGGGGGAGGTCAGGGCCTCTGTTTCTGAGACCTTCAGTGTGGGTAATGTACCTGGCCTCAGTGTAGGGCAAACTCTGTCCTTTCATTTCTACCAAAATGACTCTAATGCAAGCACCAGGAATATTCAAAATAACTTTACTGAAAACTGTGGGTACTCGAGAGACAGKTTTTTTTCCCTCTTGAAAGATTAATGATTAATTCATCACCTATAAGAATTTCAGAATTCTTAATCAATGAAGTCCTCACTGAATCAACTCAAGCCCAACTTAGACAACAGCATAAGCCAAGAGCATGGCTACACAGGAAAAAAATATTCACCTATTTGAATGATTCCAGTGCAAACCCTTTTACATGACAGAGCTACATCCTCATGCAGTCCAGGATGCTATATGCCCTATCACCTGCTRCACTGGTACAAATGTCTCAGGAGTAAGAATTASAGAAATTGACTCATGCACATTCATGAAACAGACATACTTCTATTTTTTTTTCCAAGTGACTTCATACATAAACAGTACTAAAAATACTACGTTATACATGCACCCATTTGTAAAAAAAAAAAGCATTAAGTGCTTGATTCTCATGGCAACAAAAAGGAAAAAAACTACTGCACTATACAAAGAGTACTGGAAGAATCAGAGAATATCTCAAATTGGAAAGAGACCCATAAGGATCATYAAAAGTCCAACTCCCTTCTCCTTGCAGGACTAAATCAAACTGAACCATATAGCTCGGTGCTATGACTGCTTTTCTGGGGTTCCAGTGACCACTCTCTCAGTGAAGAACCTTTTCCTAATGTCCAACCTGAACTTCCCTGACACACCTTCATTCCATTTCCTTATGTGCTCTCCTACTGTCTGACTAGATTTCTTKGTTTGGTGCTAGTCAGAATTTTAATATTCTGCTATTTACACTG